CACTCAGTCCTGCAGACCCTCGACAGCGACCCCGACGTGGCGCCAGCGCTGCTCGCGCGCCTCATCGGGGCCGCCTCCCCGCCGCTTCAGCCGCCGCAGCCGCCGGGGCGAGACGCCGCCGCCGCAAGGGTGGAGCTCCTGAGCAAGCTGCCGCCCGGCTGGAGCATACAGCAGCGCACGCCCGCCTCGGGGCGCCCTTACCTCATCTACCGCGGCCCGGCGGGACAGCGTGCCGTCTCCGTCTCCGACGCGTGGCGCAAGCACGGCGGCGAGGCCGCCGCCGCGACGGCGCCCGCGATTGCCGCCGCCGCGGCCGAGGCCGGCCCGAGCGAGGTGGGCGCCTCCCTGCAGCCGCGCGACGAGCCGCTCGGCGTGATGCTCCCTCTGGCACCGGTGCCGGTGCAGCGGCCCATGGCGGTGCCGCCGCTGCCGCTGGTGCCGGTGCCGCTAGCGCCGGCGCCCGTGCCAGTGCCGGGTCCGATCGGCAGTCCTAGCGCGTTTCCGCCGCCCCTCGCCCCCGCTCCGGCCACCGCGGCGTCCGGGAGGGCGGAGGGGGGCGCGGTGGCGGCGGTCTCCGAGACGGTGGTTCAGTTCCCGCTCCGGGCGTCGGCAGGCATGGCAGAGGCGTCGGCAGGCATGGCCGAGGGGGCGCTGCCGGGCTCGCCCTTGCGACGCTCGCCGCTGCCCAGCTCGCCGCCGCCGCGGGCTAGCTCGCCGCCGCCGTCGGCTGGCGGTGGCAGCGCGAAGCTCGGCGTCCCGCACGCGCTGCTGTCGGCGCTCCCTCCGCCGCTGCCGCCGAGAACCCCTCGGCGTGCGGAGGAGGAGGCGGGGCAGGGCGAGGAGGAGGAGGGCGGCGGCGGCGCAGAGGGGTGGCACCTCTCGGAGTCGAGCGGCTCAGCAAGCTCGCTCATCGCCCTCCTCAGCCCCTCCGTCGAGCCCGCGCTGCGCATGCTCGAGGAGAGCGAGCGCGACTTTGCGGAAGGGGGGGCGGAGCTGCTGCCGCCGCCCTCGCTGGCGACCTCGCTCGGCTCAGCACCGGAGCCGCACCCGGCACCGACGGTGGCGTGAGCGCTGCCTGCAGGCGCGGGAGAGCTTGGGTATGGGGACGCGAGACGTCTTGCGCTCGGCAAGGTTTGCCTTGTCGTTGGTGTCGCCGGGCGTTTTGGGAGAGATTGTGAGAGCGCGTGCGCCCCGGCCCCCGCCACGGTGTGAGAGAGGTATTCCCCGCGCCCGCGGTTCCGGTGGCGGCGTGGCGCATGCATGGCGGCCATGGCATGGGTTACGGCTCCGTATCTCGCTGGCGCGCACCCGTTGGCGCGGTGGCACATGTAAAAGGCTAGTTCCAGTTCACTCTGACACGCTACCGTTATCTTGAAAACGTCCAACGGGGAGATCCGTGTTGCTTCCAGCGCACTCCGCCCCCGCGGGTTGTTGCACGAGTATATGGGCCAAAAGCGTCGAAAATGTCCCAAAAAAGCGTCACTCGAGTTTGTGGCAGCTCCGCAGCTACCATTTCCCCCCGGGACTCTCCGCCTTGCTGGATAAACGCACTCCATGGGTCCCAGAGAGTGCGTGTATCCAGCAGGAGCGAGTAGGCTCGACGCCGCGCTCGCTGTGGAGCTGCCACAAACTCGCCGCCGAGCGTGCCATCGAAGGCGTCCCGGCGGAGGTGATGGAGTGTGAGACCTGAGGCTGCGGAGGTGACGCCTGAGGTACCGGCCCGTGCACAGCGACTCAGCCGGCGACCGCCACGGGCTCAGACGAGACTTGTCGACGCGTTCCGGCTCAGCTTCACCGTGGTCCTCGGGCGTCTGTCGACGTCAGGACCACCCATACAGCTCGCGGGTTTGAGGTCGCAAGAGCCAAGATGGTGGCGTTTGGACGTCCCAACCATCACACAAGACAGCCTGTAGGTGATGGCGGGACGGCGCAGTGTTTGTGGCACTCGGAAGTAGGCACCCGCGGCACGGCCCCGCTGTCGGCTCTCGCGGGCTGCGGAACCGGACCCAGAAGGGGACGGTCCGGGCGAGTGTGGCAGCTCCTGCGCTAGTATGGGCACCCTCTATCATAGCACTACTGATCCTGGTCATTAGAGCTGCCAGGGATAGCGTCAGGAGCCGGTAGGAGTCAAAACCCCTCATATTTGAGACATCGTGGCCCATATACTCGTGCAACAACCCCCGCGCTCCACCTGCGGCCATGGCCAATGTGCAATGATCCTAGTATGGGGAGCTACCTGGGTACCGCGAGAGCGACCCAACTCGTCGACATCGTCCGATGATGGTGCCTCAAAGCCTCGTGGGGTCGAGCCGGCAGTAGCCGCGACATGTGGTTCCACCACCCCTCGTAGGCTTTGCCTCTGCTCGCCATCTCTTTGTACATACATACATGTTCCCGGGCATTCACACTATATTCCTCTGAGATAATATTATATTTCGCCGCCACCGCGGCGCTCGCGCTTTATCCGCGCGCTATATTAGTAGAGCCAAACTTGTGTTCTTGTTTTGGATCAAACTTGTTACAGCTCAGCGAACGCGATGCGGCCTCTGCCTAGCCTCCTGCTCCTATGCGCGAGCTACGGCGTGACCGCTATCGAGTATGACTTCTCTACCGGGAAGAACGGCCTCGACTACTGCATCGCCGAGGCCGACACCACCAGCGACATGACAGCGTCGACCACCATGGCACCTCCACCATGGACAAGCCTTGCACCATGTATGTCAGCCACCACCTGGGCGCCTGGCGTGTGCGAGCACAACCCCAATCGAGCCGAAGGATCTGAACAATGGGTCCAGTCGGTCTCGTCGAGCACGTTCGAGCCCGCCATTTGCATCGACAATTCATTTCTCAAAGATTTGTCGATAAATTGGCAACTTGGGTCAAAACACCTTGAGGACATGTGTGCCTCCACTCACACTACCTCTCAGGCGATGGAGCACGCGCTACAGTCAGCTCCTGAGGCCTCATCCACCCACTGCGGCCAATCTGAATTTTCGGCCCTCCGCAGCCCCGCGATACAGGTGCACTCATGGCCCAATACGATGGCGCTACAATTCATGAGGCACGGGACTCTTGCTGCGACAACCCAGCCCCATAGGAAGCCTGCGACACACATGCCGCCGCCACCTTTGCTGGATTACTCAATGCTGCCCATTCTTCTGGGTCAATGCGACGGGAACGGCTTCCTTTGCCTCCAAAATGTTTCACCGTGGAACGCTACATTTGACCCTACACCTTGGCAGAAAGTCCTTCCCCGGGACCACTCGGACACGCCGAGTGCAGGAGAGGCATTGCACCATGAGACCTTGAGCAGTGGGACAGAGGTAGTGCCCTTCAACAATGGGACATGTGGTATCATCTGGCCACTCCATGGAACCACCGATGCTGCGAAAGCCCTTTGCCTTGATCACTTTCGGCGACGCGGCAAGCGCGATTGGGTCAAATACGAGCTCCATTGGAACTATATGTTCTCAAACAAGAATTGCGCTCGGGTACAGTCCACATGGATGGGAATGATCTGGCCATTTTTTCTTTGCTTTGCTCTCGTTGGGTCCCTTTTCCTTGCGTACTCCCTGCTGACAAGTGCACTGACAATTGGCGACCTGTTTGCTTACCAGACCATGAGCAGCCTTATGATTGTCAAAGCGTGGTACGGATTGCGACACTATGGTGCAAATACCAAGCTACTGATCATCAACCTGGGTATTCAAATCAAGTGGGTCTTTGACTGGTATTTTTGCCTTGCGCCAGCTGCGCTTGCGATATGCGGCATCATCCTGCTCGTTGCTTGGGGCTTTGCAATCTACGATTTCGTGCGATCCCTCCTATACTTCGCCAGGTATGCATGCCTCGTCGCCTTTGAGGTCATCACCAGCACTACTGTCAAAACTGTTTGCTTCATTTGGACACCTATTACCACCACCATCTCCTTTGGGTGCCCGTATGCAATCGTTTGCGTCAGCATCTACCGCGACTTCCTTCGGAGGTTTCTCAACTTCGTCAGTCCAGTCGTGAGGGAGCACTATGCCGAGCTAACTCCTTTGTCCGATGTTTGTGAACCGATCGACACTGGCCGCCGAAAGCCGTTGCCCTCCTCGCTTTGCCCCCAATGCCTCCATGGACTTGTCGAGTGCTTCCATTGCACCTACCATGGCATGGCAGAAAATCCATGGGTGTGCGGGAACGCCCTTCGACCCAATGCCAACGAGAGGCCTATGCCGTGGAAATTCTGGACGTGTCGTAACCTCCATTTGGCGTTTTCTTTGTACGACGATGCTCTTGCCGCCATTTATGCTCGGCTTCTCCACCTTCACGTTTGGGCCACTCTCCGTTGCCTGCAGTATCGCAGTGGTGAATACATCGTCATTTACGTGTGCAATTTTGGTTTGATCATGACACGCAAGGCCCTATACTACTTTATTGGCTTTGCTACCATTTGGCAAATCGTGTACATGCTAACCAATAGCATCGCAGTTGCTGCCGACCCGCAGGAGACCACCCCTGCCTTTGATGGCCAGCGTGACTCTTTCGTTGGTTGGTATATGCTCTTTACCGGGTACGTCGCGTGGAAGGCTACCGACGCCTACACTATCGCCGATGGTTCCGAAACGAAGCCTGAACCGCCCGCAGGAGAAGAACCAGTCATATCTGCGCCAAATATCAGCAGGGAAGGGGCAGTCACCAATCAGGCAACCATCACCGCTGAGACTCGGGCTCGTGACGCTTGGCGCAAACGAACCAAGAAAGTTGAGAATTGGGAAGAACGCAACCGCAAGCTATATGGGCTACTAATCACCGCCATGCCAACGTGGCTGCGTACTTCCCTTTTCAACTCTCACTCTGGTGACGGAAGGGCTGCGATCGTTTACCTACAATCCACATTTGATGCTGGAAAAGGGAAGGGCAATGATCATGCTTACCACCTCGAGCGGCTCACTCGGTCAGTCATCGAGCCCCGTCGGGAGATTGACGAGAAGGATTTACAGAGTCAATATGATTGGATTATGACTTGCAAAGCCGCCATCGAGCGCACTGAGGAAGATGTGCCCGGAGAAGCTACCTTGATTGCTTTCTTCGACAACGCTCTTCCACATTCGTACAGCTCCATTCGGCAACTTGTGCGCCGTCAGAAACATGATACGCTGCTCAAGCATTATACCGATTACCAGGATATGGTCCGCGGGGAGCTTGCCTCTCGTCGCCCTACGCCGTCCGCCTATAACGCCAATCAGGGCAATACCAATCAGGGCAATGCCAACCACGGTGGGACTCGAGGGCGAGGGCGCCAGCTTTGCGTCCGTTGTGGCCTTGTCGATTGCCCTGGCCGCAGGCAGTGTGCCAAGCCTCCGACTCAGTGTCCGCTCTGTGGTGGCGATCATCTTGGTGCTTTCTGCCCCAAGGCTGTCGGCCGCCACCGCCGCGGTGAACTTACCAGTGGCGCCCTCAAGATGCTAATGAAGGAGATGACTGAAAGCCTTGCTCGGCGCGGGCAACCCACTGCCGCCGCCGCTTCTACCGCGCCAGCCGCCGCCCCTGCCGCGCCACCTGCTGCCGCACCCGCCGCCGCCGCTTCTGCCCCTACCTACGCCGCCGCCGCTGGTGCTAATTCCTCCGCGTCGCACGCTAACTTGCCACCTTCTACCGCGCCCCCCGCTGTTGATGCCGACCGCCAGCGAGCCTTCGCCGCCGCTGCTGCCGTCGCCTCCGCCGAGGCCGACCCTAGCAATTACGCGCAAGTTTTTACTGGGGCCCTGCGTAGCTTTGGCTATGTCTGCAACGCCGCCTATGGCGCCATCGCTCCTCCCACGATTGCTCCTCCCCCTGGGATAGCTTCTGCAATTTGGTCTTTTGTTGACTCCATGTCTACGCATTTTATCGTGCCCGACATCGCGATGTTGCACACTGTGACTGACCCGTCACCCGGTATTGGCGTCGACACCGCCAACGGCCCCTCCTATGTCGAGGCCATCGGCACCGCCCTAATTTGGCTTTATCATGGTGGCACTGTTGGCTGGATATGCTACGAGTTACCCCATGTGCTCGTAATGCCCAATTGCGACGCCGTGCTTTACTCGACCCGGACAATGCGCAATCTGTTTGGATTTCGACATGATTTCGATTCGTCCAATCCTGCTATCAGTTGCCCTGGGCGCCCGAAGATCTCCATCATTGACGATGGATATGGATTTCGCATACCCATCGCCTTTGTGCGCGCCGGCCGACCGTCTCCGTATGGGCTCATCCGCAGTATGGCTGCCGTCGCCGCCGCCGCCCTCCATCATGGCCCTGGGCTCGCCCAGTCGACGCTGTACCATCGACTCGGTTTTCCGTATCTCGATCAGTGGCGTCGTACTCTGGATTCGATCACCGGACACGGGCTCCCCGCCGAGGCGTCGCTCACCAGCGTTCCCGTCAGCGATGCCATCATTCGCGGCCGCTCTCGCGCTTTGCCATTCCATCGGAACCTTGATGGTGAGCAGCCTGCGCCTGGCGCCGTATTTTACATGGATGGTGCTGGTCCGCTCATTCCCAGCTTTCCTGATGGCTACGTGTCTTACTGTGTCGCTGTCGATGCCGGGTCCGGTTTCGGACGTATTTGGCCGTCGCATCGTGCCCAGCTCGACGCCGCCACTGCAGCCCGCTGCCTCGAGGTCTTTATTGCCCAGGTCGCCGCTTTGCTTGGTCTATTCAGTGCATTCAAGCCGGGCATTCACACTATATTCCTCTGAGATAATATTATATTTCGCCGCCACCGCGGCGCTCGCGCTTTATCCGCGCGCTATATTAGTAGAGCCAAACTTGTGTTCTTGTTTTGGATCAAACTTGTTACAGCTCAGCGAACGCGATGCGGCCTCTGCCTAGCCTCCTGCTCCTATGCGCGAGCTACGGCGTGACCGCTATCGAGTAATACAATCTATCAACAAAGGACTCTTGCACGGCTCAAGCCCTTGACGCTCGAGCACGCACAGGGACCAAGGGTGAGTGTTCACCGGCTGAATCACACCGGCGGCTGCGAGCGGAACCGCAGTATATGGGGGCAGAAGTGTGTGTGTGGGTGGGGGGGGGGGGGGGTGGCGAGCGCGAGCCCCATTGCGTCCGTCGCCAATACTCGGCTGGGGACGACGGTCTTGCGCAGGATCAATATGTGCGCCGTGCTCCCCGACATGCAAAGGATGCTGCGCGCGTGATATATTCCACATGAGGCGGCCCAGGCAACTGAACGGCTGGGTACTTTGCCCCGGCAGCGTTCTTGTCCGGGCCGCCCGCGCGCCGCAGCGGCGATCTTAGACGCCCTCGGTGACGGTGTGCTTGGTCATCGAGGGACGGTCGGAGCCGTATCCCGGGACGCTGAGTTTGCCCTTCTTGACGAGCAGGTACACACCGAGGGCGAGCAGGGCGACGCCGAGGGGCACGCACACGGCGACGGCCACGACCCAGCCGCGCTTCTTGGCAGGCGGCGGTGGCGGCGGCGGCGCGACGCCAGAAATGGCGATGGACGGATTGACAACGAAGGAGGGCGTGGGCACGTTCTCACCGAGCTCCTCGCCGATGTTCTGGAGAAGGGTGTTGGGGTCGCTGGAGATGGCGTCGAGGATCTGCGGGGCGGTCTGCCCCTCCTTCGGGTAAATGGTCACCTTCAAGACGTTCGGGTTGCCGTCGACAGGCTCGACGGTGATCTGGTCGGTCGTGATGTCCGTCACGGAGTCGGCGATGGTGTCAACCACGGCAGTCTTGATCTTCTCAAAGGAGATGGTGAAGGTGACAGTCTGCTGCTGCAGAGCGCGCAGCAGGCGGCGCACAGACTCGAAGGAGATGGTGAAGGAGGTGGTCTCGACTGGGACTAGACCCGGATCCAGAGGCGGGAGCGGCGGCGGCGAGGGCGAGGCGGAGGGCGGCGGAGTCGAGGGCGAGGCGGAAGGCGGCGGAGGCGGTGGCGAGGGGCTGGTGGTCACATTAGTCGAGAGCTGGCGGTGGCCGCCTGCTGAGCGGCAGGGCGACGCAACGAGGCCCTCGTCCCAGCTGGACATGTGCTCGCAGACGGCGTGCTCGGCGCAGAAGCGGCGTTTGCTAGCGCCGCTGCTGGAGACGCACGTGATGCCGTTCTGGCCGGCACCCTTCTGGAAGGGGTGCTCGCAGTTGCACGTCCAGGAGACGGGCGGCTCGGCCGAGGCGCAGGAGCGCGCGCCGTCCCCGGCGGGTTTCGCGCGCATCATGCGCGAATAAGCGAAGGTCGCGCCGGTCTCCTCTTGCTGCACGGTGACGCCGCAGTTATTCTCGAATGTCTGCGCGGCGCGGTAGACGCCCTCCGAGGCGAGGCACGCCGACTGCTCGCGCGCAAAGGTGGTGCCGCGCGCCTCCACCAGGATCTCAACGCCGGCGGCGCGAAGCGCGAGCCGACCGCTCTTGGTCCGCGGTGACGCAAAGTTCTCATCCTCGATCGCCTTGAGCAGCAGGTCGGGGCCGACGAGCGAGCTGACGGCGCGCTCGCCTCGCGCGAACTCACCCCAGTAGTCGATGGAACGGCGAATGGTGCGTGAGCCGGGCTCGGAGGCGACGAGCGCTTGGAAGACGTGGTCACCCGAGTCGCCTAGCACCGTCGTCAGCCGGCTACCGGCAAGCGGCGCAAGCGAGCGCACCAGCTGCACGTCGGTGTCCAGGTACATGCCGCCGTGCAAGAAGAGCTGCGCCATCCGACAGAGGTCGGAGCGGTACTTGCCGGAGTAGTAGGGCACGTGCGCCGGGAGCGGGAGGGCGCGCTCGGGCATCTTCTCGGGGTGGGCGTACCACTGCATGAGCTCTTTGGCGGCACCGGCCCTCTCCAGAAGCTCCAAGCAAGACGCGTCGTCATCGAAGATCACGGTCGCGCCTGGGTGAAGATCGACGGCGTGCTTCACGTTGGCGCGGAGGAGTAGGTCGTCGTTCGACAGGTCGTCGGCCTCGAGCAGATTCGTCTTGTGGTTGAAAAGCAAGTTGTTGGGCACCACGGGCGTGGCGACCGCCTTCACGGTCCCGGCGGGGTTGAAGCAGGCGCCATGGCTGGAAGCCTGGAGCAGGCTCTGAGTCAGTTTGAGCTCGCGTGCGGACGAGGTCGACGAGGAGCCGTCGTCGTTGGCGTTGAATCCGAGCACGAGGGCAACCGCGGCGATCATCATCTTGCCTGTCGGCACGATAGGCGCGCGGGGGTGAGAGGGGCCAGGCGGGGCTGCAGACATGCATGGATGGCAGGCGGGTTCGGGGCGAGGTGGGTTGGTGAAAGCAGAGGCAAGATGGCGACGGCGACGGCGCGGCGTCGCCCGGCACGCAGGTGGCGAGCGTGGTTGGGTGAGTTTGGGCTGGCGAGGCGCTGGTAGTCGTTAGTGGAGGCCGTTGAGCGGCAGACGAGGGGCGGTGCGAGGACGGGAGGGAGGGCGAGTCTGCCTGCAGAGACTCGCAATGAGCGTCACGCAAGCCGCCGTTCGCAAGGTCTGGGACATGAGAAGCCGTGGCTGTGAAAAGAGGTTTCCAAACCCGATCAGTTGCAAGAATCGCAAGGACGGGGGACAGCGGCGCAATAGGGGGCCTCCCCTTTGAGGTGCCTTCCCAAGCCCCTTTCTTCTGCTCTCCTCCGCCACCTCTCGCAAAGGTCCATAGTCATAGCCACCACCTCCTCCAGAAGTCCGCTCGCCGTATCCGCCTGATACAGCGCGCGGGGCGGCAGACGCACTTGGACTTGGCAGCGGCGCACGACGTGGGAGAGAGACAGAGAGATTTTTTGTTTTGTCGACGTGGTGACTGATCCCTGCTTGATGACTGACCAGGCGAACGGTCCGCGCACTTCACCGCTTGTTGCCAGCCGTCTCGCCGACCCAGATCTCGAAAATTTTGAGACATTTCTTCTTCTTCTTGAAGGCTTGTTCTTGGTGTCCGGGGTGACGGTCACAGAGCTGATAGTTTCCCCAAGCTGGCCTGGCGGGAGGGGGGGGGGGCGGGGAGGTTGGAGTGGCCACATATGCGAGCAGAGGGCGAGGGCGAGGGCAAGGAAGGGCCGGGCGCCTTGGCAGAAAACCAGGGGTTGGTCTTCTTCTTCTTGCTCTCTTGCCAAAGGTACTGCTTTTGCCGTCGGTAACCTTGGCCAAGAGCTGAGAGCACGAGCGGGGAGTGGTAAGATATCTTACTCGGTGACGGGGTCGCATTTGCTAGATGATGTACCCGGCGGGCGAATTTGGCGGAGTTGCCCGCCCACATTTGCGGATCGCTCAGCGAGGGCGGCGAGGGCGGCGGCGGCGAGGGCGGCGTCGGCGTCCAAGGGGGGCGGTGGGGAGGGCGGCGGAGGCGACGGGAAAGGCGGCGAGGGCGGCTGGCTCGGCGAGGGCGGCGAGGGCGGCGGCGGCCGGCGAGCCCCGCGGCGGCGGCGGCAGGGGTTGGCGGCCCGTCTTCGGCCCTGCCGCCCCTGTGCGAGGAAGAGGCGCGCCCATATAATGGCAGGTGTGTGTGTGTGTGTGTGTGTGTGTGTGTGTGTGTGTGTGTGTGTGTGTGTGTGTGTGTGTGTGTGTGTGTGTGTGTGTGTGTGTGTGTGTGTGTGTGTGTGTGTGTGAGATCTTGTGTGTGTGGGGGGGGGGTGGAATGACACTTCGTCACACTCTCACAATCTGCCACCCTCACAACCTGATCGAGCCGGCTGGCCGGAGATGGTGGTCATCACTTAGATGCCTGGAAATGCCGTCCAGGACGGTGCAGGCCGCGCTGCTCGCGCGGCTCCACAAACACCACCACGTCTGTGCCTGAGCTGAAGAGCGCTGCGCTCACAGTGCGCACCAGGCACTTAGAGTTTTGGCGTGCTCGAGACTCGAGAGCTCGACACTGCTCTAGGAGTACAGGACAACTGCAATGATTGTGCTGAAAGTGATAAGAGTGCCGACATGTGTGCCGAGAGAGAACAAGCAAACGAGAATGTGATGGGGGGTCAGTCGGGAGCGTCGCCACATGTGAAGGTTGAGGTTTTCAGCAAAATTATAACGTCATACATGCGTAAGGGCTGCCTCACACGTCCAAGACGCCAGCCAGTCCGCTGTCCCCATCCGAGCAAGCTGTCGGGCATTTGCGCCGTGCGAGAAGCTGCCATTGGAAAGAGGAGAGAGGGATTGCGGAGGATGTGCTGGTTATGCCTAGTAGTTGACGACCGATGCTTCTTCTCCTCGATCCACCGCCGCACGGCACCTTCAGCAGCTGCTTCTTCCCACGGGTCGTGCCAGATCTCATCTTCCGTCAGCGCGCGCATTGTGCCGCCCGCTGCAAGCCACCCGCATGCGTCCGGTGTGAGTGAGTCTCGCAGACTCGCATGCCGAGTGTCCTGAGCAGTGCAGGTCTCTCCTCCTCCGGGCCGTCAGCGTCGCGGCCATTCCCGGTCCCGCGGCCGGCACTGAGGGCCGATTGCGGCCGGATGGTGGTTTCTTTGCCCAGGGCTGGCCTTCCCCCCAGGCTGGATCAGCTGAGCAAGGTTTGAGGAGAATCCTATAGTAGGATCTTCAGATATTTTGACGGATGACCGAAATCACCCCGTTTTCGCCCCACCCACCTATCTACCCCACGTCTGCTTCGTCGGCCGGCTCGCCTCGTACAAGTACTTCAACATGGACCAGGCTATTCTCAACGCGCTCGAGATATACGACAATTACAAGGAGGCAGGCAAGTTCGCTCCGAAGCCGCGCCCCGAGGATTTCGGCCCCGGAGACGGCCCGAAGTGACGCGGGCGATAGTCTCGCTGCGAGCAGCGGAGGAGAGGAACGCTGCTTTTAGGATGGTGTTTGAGTGAAAGAATGAAAGAAAAAAAACCAAAAAAAAAGGAACCGGCAAAACGGTTTCTTCCTGCACCAGCGTCTCACCTGCGCCAGTCCTTGCAAATGGCCTTTTTGCTACAAACGCTCTTCACCGCCTCGATCTTGCTGCTGAAAGCAGAATCAGACACAAGACTGGCGAGCCAGACCGGTTGCGTGCGCAAAGGCGGCGGCTCAGAGGGCTTGCCGTGCAGCGAGCCCGTTCCCGACGAGATCGTGGCAGCGGTTGGTCGAGGCGACGAAGCGGCGGTGCTGGCGTGGCTCGACGTGGCCTTCGGCGGGTGGGTAGACGCCACGTTTACAGTTCACAGGGTCACTATGCTCACAGTCGCTGCCACCGAAGGCCACGAGCGACTGGTCCACGCACTGCTGCAGCGTGGCGCGGATGTCAACCATCAGACCAGTAGCGGCTCCACCGCGCTCATGGTCGCCGCACGGAATGGCCGCTCGCGGGTGGTGGACGCACTTCTGCAGCACGGTGCGGACATCAACCTTCAGACTAGTGACGGCTTCACCGCGCTAATGCACGCCGCCGCCACCGGCCACGAGCATGTCGTCGACTTGCTGCTGCGGCAAGGCGCCGAGGTGGACCTGCAAAGCAACAAGGGCGACACGGCGCTGATGTTCGCTGTCTCAACTAATCGACTCGCTGCCGTGCTGCGCCTGCTTCGGGCGGGAGCAGACACAACGCCTCGCGGCGAGGGCGGCGAGGACGCGCTGACGATTGCAAAGGTGGAGGAGCACCTCGAGTGCGTGCGCGCCATTGAGGAGCACGCGGGAAAGAAGAAGAGCGGCCAGGACGGCGGCGCAGAGCTTGCGCGGGAAGCACACGAAGGCTTCGCCTCCTCCATGATTTGGGGCCTCCTGATCGTCCTGTGCACACCGGGCTTAGTCAGCAGCGCACTGCTGCTTCTCCCGTCCTCCCAGCAGCGCCCATACGCGCGACGACGGGGGCGAAGGCTGACCGCGCCGGAGGGGACGCAGCGGCAGCTTGTGCGGCCGTACCGGTTAATGCTCGAAGCCGTGGCCCGATGGCTTCGCTCCGTGCGGGCTCGGGCGACTGCCCGGCGAGGCGGGGAGAGGGTGCCGGAGCGAAGCCAACGGAAGCGGCAGGGGCGGCAGGGGCGGCCAGAGAGGCCGGCGGAGGCGGAGGCGCGCGAGCGGGGGCGGCGGGCCGCACAAGCAGAGGCAGCAGCAGCCGCAAAGGCAGCAGCAGAGGTAGAAGCAGCAGCAGAGGCAGAGGCAGAGGTAGCAGCAGCGGCGGGGCGCGCGAGGGAGGAGGCCGAAGCGATCGAGCGAGAGAGGGTCGGGATCGAGGGCAAGGGCGAGGATTCAGTCGCACCCCTTGCGGCCGTGCCTCTGTCCGAGGCGAACTTCGACACCGGGCGGCCCGAGTCGACCCTCGGAGGCGAGTCCACTTGTATCATATGCTTTGCCCAGCCGAAGTCGCACGCAGCGGTCCCTTGCGGGCACTGGTCCGCCTGCGGCGACTGCGCCGCCAGGATCATGGAGCGCGACCGGCGGTGCCCGTACTGTCGCGAAGCGGTGATTATGTGGATGATACCACGAGATGTCTGAGCTCTGACGGTCGATATCTCACATGCACACAGACCAGGGGTAGTTGGCGGGGTCATGGGAAGCGTCCGTCGTGAACATGGGTCGTGAATCGTCATAGTCTGAGGGTTAGGTTTCTGGAGCCTCGGGTGCTTTTACACTTTTGATCGGGTCAGGGGATAGTGCGACTTTTATCACTTTGGTCGTCTCGGAGCGCCTAACTTTTAGCATTTCTCAAAATTTTCTTCGGCGCCGCGCGCCGGGAGCAGCAAGTAGTAGCTATCGTCCCGCAAAGTACGGCTCTAGTTCCCGGTGGGGTCCCACACCTACAAACCTACAAGGAACTTCGGTAAGCCTAGCGACTTCCGACGACGGAAGGGTGTCCGACTAGCATTACCCATATATATCTTACCTCAGGCCTCAAGCCTGGAGGGCTGGAGCGGTTCATGAATAGTCAACAAAAGCTCACAAGCCCGGAGCGCATGGAAAACCAACTAACAACTAGCGCTGGTTCAGTCAGGCCAGACTGGTCGGCGGTGCTTCAGCGTCCACGTCATTCACCGGTTCAGGTGTGCTGCCCTGCTCAATTTTCTTCGAGATCTCCATGGTGGCCCATGCCATCCCTCATCCCCTCATCGTTCACCGCAAGGCTCTCAAACTCTTTCGCCCACGGGGTCAGGGGCGCCGCACCGATCAGGCACCAGGCCTTGCTTGGGCAGACAAACGCCACGCCCAACAGCACCAGCGCGCCAGCGAGCCCGATCGCAAAGAGGGAGAGCACGACATCCGCTTGGGGGCCCGCCTCGAGCAGGCACGTCGGCGAGGTCCCGTCGAGGTTGGCCGTGGCCGCTGCCGCGTACGCGACGGTCGTGGGCGTCGGGGGAGGAGGTGGCGGTGGGTTTGGCGGCGACGATTCTGGCGGCGGCGGCTGGGACGGCGGCGTCGGCGACGGCATCGGGCTCGGATCCGTCGGAGGCGGTGGCGGGACCGGCGTCGGTGGCGTCGGAGCCGCAGACGGCGGCAACGGCGGCGCCACCCAGATCGGCTCTACGTCTTCCACGCCGCCGTTTCTCAACTGCTGGCACATGGAGGCCGATCGCCCCGTGGGATAGCTGCGCGCCTCCGTGGCGAGAGGCGCGCAGCACTCGCCAAAGTTTTTGATCCACCTGGCGGGGTTGTCGTTCACCTTGGACGTTGCGCCGGAAATATACTTCCTCGGCACCCCGAGAAAGTCCTGCAGCTCGTGCACGGTCTTGGTGTAGTCGTCCTCGAGGTCCTCATAGTACAGAAAGAAGACGGGGCCCTTCCTCGCCCGCGCCTCACAAATCTCTCGATGGTAGCGATTTTGAACCTCGCGAAACCTCACATGGCCGGCAAAATCCTCGGGGGTGATCGTGATGCCCTGCTGCATGACTCGGTTCCAGCAGGCCTCGTCGGCGGAGGTGTAGAGGTTGTCGACGCCGCAGCTCTTATGCAGCAACGAGTGCGCATATTCGGAGAGGCTCATGTTGAACGCGCTGTAGCGCAGGCTGCAGATGACCTTGGCGCCGACCTGATCGTAGATGTCGTTGACGACTGCTTGCTTGTTTCGGAGGTCGGAGTGCTGAAAGTCCTCGTTACGCTTCGTGCAACGCTCCAACGCGGTGGTCTATCCGTCCGGCTCCTCGCACATGGCGGTGCGGAGCCTGCCCCCGCAGTAGAGGAACTTCTGCTTGAAGCCGCGCGCGGGTGAGAGTACGCTCATGGAAGTGTAGTGCGATGCGAATGCCCGAGAAGTGGTGTAGTGCCCCGGGTTTCCAACGGACTTGGAGAAGAAGTTGCAGATTCTCTCGGCTGCCGACTCGCTCTCAACATGGTTGAATATCTCCCCGGCCATGCTGATCTGGTCGTGCGAGGTCAGGATGTCGCTCTCCCACGAGGAGCCCGTTCGCTGCGACATCCACATGACAAACGGCGTGGAGGTTTCTGGCGGAGTTTGACACTTCACCGAGTACGTGTTGTTGGATGCCTGCGGCGTGAGAGTGGGTCGAGCTCGTCACCTCCAGCTTCTCGTCGGCAGAGGCTGGCACTTGGTCGATGACGGCGTCGTCCTCGAAGGTCTTGACGACGTCACCGCTCGGGCCGTAAAGCTTCGCTTCGAGCTCGCGCTTCTGCGGGAGGCGGGAGAGGCGGGAGGCGGTGAGCAGACGCTGATCAGATGAGGTTTTGGCGGGACGCAGTGTGCAAGGCCTGTCGCCCGGCAGTCCCACCCCCGACGGCGAGGCCAAGCGCGACGAGAGCCGTGGCAAAATGATCATCGTGTCCTCACCTGCAGTGGAACACAGAGGCGTGTGGCGACCACGGTGGCGACGGCGACCCGGCGGCAACGGCGCGGCAGCCGGCAAGCGGGCAGTGTAAAAAGAGATGCAAGCCGATCGTGTGGGGTGGAGTTGGTGTGGATTGGCGCTGGGCTGCCGTGCGTGCGGGCGGGTGTTAAACGACTGCGCAAAAAAATGGATTGGCGTTGCGGTTCCGGTTGGTTCACAACTCTTATCGACTCACAGGTAAAGCCGTATTGTCTGTGTTCACTCACGCTTACTGCATGAGCGACAGAGTGAGAGAGGAACAGTTCGTATTCATGTGCGCATGTGATCATGGTGACCATAGTCATGTGACAGTGCAGGCGCTCACCGCGCAAGGGCAAAAACTCTCGCGCCCCATCGGGCGACTCCGCGAGATTCGATGAGACTCACTCTAGCTCGGGCACGTCATCCTCTTGCACCGTGAGGGGCACCTCCTGCGCGAGCGCCACGCCAACCACCGTCGACGACGCCACGTGGACCCGCAGCGTGTAGTCGCCGGCCGGCGATGGCGCAGCGAAGCGGACGCGCGCGCGGACCTGCGCGGTGAGATTACCCGAGATTACCCGAGATTGCCCGGACGCACGCCCGGACCCGCGCGGTGGCGCGCGTGGAGGCGGGCAGGGGGTGGTGTGTCAGGGACGCATGCAACACACACGTGCACAAACATGTCGTGGGCACGGCGCGAGCGGGCGGGAGGCGGGCGGGCGGGGTGAAGGCGTGGCAGGGCCGCGGCGCGCGCGTACCGCCGCCGTCGCCGCCGACGTGACCACCAGAGCCTGGCAGTGCACCATCGGGTTGCGCTCGCCCTCCGGCCGCAAGC